ATAATTGTTTTGCTTCTGCTTTACCCATTCCCTAATATATCTAAAATGGTAACAAAGTTCTAACTATATATAATAGATATAAAATAATTGCTGAGATAAGATCGGCCACAAAGGGAGTGCATTGTTTTCCACTGTTTGCTTTCTCTGCAGAGGTCTGACACTTCCCCACTGAATCAGAGCTGTAGCTTGCTAAACATTTAACAGAAAACCAAAATCTTGATGTCCCAATGCCAATCAGACTGCATCATATATATATATCATCTTTGATTTTTTTCATTGTTCTAGTGAAGGCTTCATACATCCATCCTCTTCTTTTTTCTCCACCAGGCCGTGCTGTCCGTGTCTCTTCCCTCTGGCCAGCTAGCGAAAGACATCAAATTGTTGGAGGCGCGTCTGGACAATGTGGGACAGTTGAATCATTTCACTGTTCTGGAACCTGCTGAGGTGCTCCAACTCTTTAATGGGGCGAAGACTGCAGAAGATCTGCTTCCCGGGGGTCTCCTGCTCCAGGGGTGGCTTCCTCTTTCCACCCAGAGGTCCAATTTAGAGATGCTTTTTGAAAGGAATTTCACTTGGATCTACTCGCAACCACGAAATATGAGCGTCAGTGCAAACGGACATCAAACTGACCATGAAAACAAAGTGAGAGGAGGATCACCACCCCTACCACCTTCTTCTACCGGGTTCCTCAGCCTTGGTACCCCAGCATACCCGGTGCCTTATGCAGATGCCACATACCGCTTCGACGTTGACATGTTTGGAATCGATCCAGCAAGCGCTAAGATGCATGTGGTGGAGCAACTTAAGTTGTGTACACAGTCCCTGCCTGCTGGGATCAGTCTAATCTGCATCATGTTTGGGGAGGAGAGCCTGCGGACCGAACTCAATCAACTGATTGAGGGACTGGCACCATTCTTTTTAGTGAATGAACAGATGCTGCTAGAAATGGAGATTTAACCCCTTGGATGTTAGTCTCAATATCAATAAGCAATATCATTGGACTTAAAGGGGTTCTAAAGCCTCCATTTTTTTGCCTATATCTAGGGCTAGCAAGCAGTAGATATATGCAAAGTTTAAAAAAAAAAAAAAAACCCGCTTTACCAGCGGGTTAAACTTACCTTGTTTTCGCTGCGCGCTCCTGTCCGAGAAACGAAACTGCTCCTGCGGCCGCAACGCATCTTGGGCGGGCAGTTCGGATTCTCGGCCGGGAGATGAGCAGAGACGCAAGGTCTATGGACGCGTGCACCCGCATGCAGACAGCGCGGGATCGGAAGTGCCTGCAAGCAGAGAGGAGTCAGCGCTGGATCGGAGAGCCGCCACACCGATGGAGGGACAGGTGAAAACATCAGGAAAGAAGAGGAAGATCGGATTAAGAGACATCATTTAAGGTAAGTGCTGACATTAACATTGGGGGGAGGGGAAAAAAATGATCCTTTAATGTCACTTTAATTATACACTATATGGCTAAAATATCTGTAAACAATAAGTTGAGGCAACTGGACTTGCTGTATTTTGGTTTTTTCTTAAGACGTTTCACTGGTCATCCGTCCAGCTTTCTCAATTCAGAATTCTGAATTGAGAAAGCCAGTTGGATGACCAGTAAAATGTCTTCAAGAAAAATACACCAAGTCCAGTTGCCTTGACGTATTGTCTGAGTCAAGGATGACACCTAGGACCTTGGCATGAGGGGAGGGCTGGATAGTTGTGTTAACAATCTCAAGTGAAAAGTTGGGGGAAGGTGCATGGGCGGGAGGAAATAACATCAGCTCAGTTTTTGAAAGGTTGAGGTTTAAGAAATGTTGTGACATCCAGACTGATACGTCAGTTAGTAGATTAGTGACACGCAAGGACACTGAGGGAGTGATTTGCGGAGTAGAGAGGTAGATTTGACTTCTTGTCAAAACAAAAACTGATTGGCCCCTTGTGCTGCTGCTCTTGCTTGTTTTAACACTCCAGCCCTGCTGTACACGGACTGTAAGAGGCTGATATTAAATTCAGGTTCTTAAATTGCTTGTATTTAAAATAAACATTAAATGGTGTATGGATGTGTAGAGAGCTGGATGGTGGTGTATGGATGTGTAGAGAGCTGCTTTAATTTCTATCTTTTATATGTGCCTGGAGATCAGCTTTAATTCGTGCCTTGCGGTTTTTCTGCCTTTGATGCCTCAGTCAGAATTGTTAGTTCTCCAGTGCAAAGTCACCACCTTACCTTAAGAGAATCTACAGTCTTCACCATGAAAGTCTCAGCTGTCTTCTAAAAAGTGTCCTGATAGATGTCCACCTGTTCCTGTTCATAAGAGCCAATACCGCCGCTCTCTCTCTCCATGAGGTAGGCGACCAATCAAGTATACTCCCCTCTGTGTTGCTTTAGGGTCCTGGCTGACCTCCATAGGCCTGTGTATATGCAATGTGTGGATACAGTCCACCATATCTGCTCCATTTGTTCCCTGCCCATGCCATCCTCCTGCCCTTGATTACCAGCCTATGCAAATTCGCATAGTAAACAACTTACCTCTAGAAATGTAGGTGATGACCATGCAGAAAAGAACTCCCCTTGGCACTGCCCGCCACTCTGAAAAAATTAATTTGAGTTGTAATGTTGACTGAACCATGAAGTAGCTAAGGTCATCCCTCTGCTCACACTTTCTGCTCCTATCACCATGTTCCTTGGCAATCCATTGGCATGTAGCCCACCTGATTGGCTCTTTGTCCTGTTCCTTCCCCTCCCAGCTCTCCCTGCAGAGTGCTGCTGCATAGGGAATTGCAGGGGATAAAATCAAGCCAAATTCTCGTATGTACAATGGTTACATTTTTAAAATAATGATGTATTAATGAATAGACAGCTGCATTTATTTGTGCCTTTTATATCTACCAGGAGTTCAGTTTCAATGTGCAGGAATTACACCTTACAGCACGTTTATGAAAATACTTTTTTAATATATTGTAATACACACTGCCTGTTCATAAAAAAAGTCACCACCTGGATTTAACTAAGCAAATAGGTAAGTGCCTTCCATTGGGTAATAGGTCTAGGTAGGCCCGTACTTATAATGAGGCAGCCTGGGGCTGTTGCCCTAAACAGCATCTCGTTGGGTCAGGTGAGGCCAGAGCGCCCTACGTTGCTAAGAGCCTGGCGGGGAAATGAGTGAGGGCCATAAACATCTCCCTGCTCTGCTCTTCGCAACCTAGGAAGCTCTTGCTGGCAGAGCGTCCCGCCGAGCTCTTGGCAACCAGTGATGTCACTGGTTGCCTGGAGCTTGACGGGATGCCGGCCAAAGACTCCCAAACTGCTAAGGAATGGGGGTGGAAACGGAGAGCCCTTATACATCTCCCTGCCTGGCTCTTGGTGGTCTCACTGTCCACCACTTCCCTGATGGCACATTGGGCATATTCCAAGATGACAATGCCAGGATTCATCGGGCTCAGATTGTGAAAGAGTGGTTCAGGGAACATGAGACATCATTGTCACACATGGATTGGCCATCACAGAGTCCAGACCTTAACCCCATTGTGAATCTTTTGGACGTGGTGGAGAAGACTTTATGCCGCGGTCCGACTCTCCCATCATCACTACAAGATCTTGGTGAAAAGTTAATGCAACTTTGGATTGAAATAAATGTTGTCACATCGCAAAATGATGCCAAGGCGAATGTGTGCCATAATCAAAGCTAAAGGAGGTCTAACAAATTATTAGGGTGTGGGACTTTTGTTTTGCCCGGCAATGTATTTTGGTAACAAGCGCCCAGTACATTGTGAGAAACAGACTTTAATGGACATAGACTTTTGAAAGCTCTTGCTGTTTACCATGATGCTTAGAATTGGGGAGGAAAGGGCAAGGCTATGGCTTAGTACATGTTGTTATGCCTATGCTTCTCAACAGTCAAGAAGATATGTAGAGATACAGTAAGTAAGAGGACAGCAGAACAGCCTGAAGAAAAGGATCTCAAACATTGTTGGACCACGGCTATGATTACAGAAGTTGCAAGAGAATGCCGTGGAAAGAAGAATCAGTGGTAATCAGTGAAAAGAATGTCCCTTTGTCAGGAACCAGATCTGAACACAGGGCCTCTGCTGTAGCTGGCAGTGGTTCTACCTGCTGAGCCACCTTAGAACCTTGGATAGCTCCTTGCCTGATCTCCTGTGTAATCCTCAGTTAAAGGAGAACTATGGGGTCAGTGTTTTTCCCCATAGTTCTCCTTGGGGTAACGGGAGGACACAAACTAGCGTCCTCCCGTTACCCTAAGCTCAGTATACCGCGAGTTACAGCCCGCGGTATACTGAGACGCCGCACCTGGAGCGGATCCCGACTTAGATGACGGGATCCGCCCAGCTGCGTGAGTGACAGCTGGCTCTGCCTATCTAGAGGCAGAGCCAGCTGTACCCGCCCCCTCCCCCGTCCGTTCCGCCAGTCAGCGCTGGCAGATCGGAGCGGGGAGAGGGGAATCCAGCCCGTCCCCCTGTCACGGCAGAGAGCCCTGACAGGATCGAGAGGTGAGGGAACCCGGTATGTGTTCTCTCACCTCCCGATCTACTGAGCCGACCTGTGACAGTCTCATTGTCACAGGTCGGCTTAGAACTATGAGATGAGTGGAAATCACTCATCTCATAGTTCTCCTTTAAACCTAGTTTCTGCTGAACTCTAAACTCCTTGCTCCTCCCTTAAACTTCCTATTGAAGCCAAGCCTCTGCACTTCCTGTTTGCCAGATTATTGTGCTCCTGCCAATATCTTGCTTCCTGCTCCCTCTGTGATACAATCCTCTCATACTGCTACCTGTGTACTGACCTTTGGCTGCTGATTCACCTTTGGCTGCTGATTCATACTCTCATCATCTTCCACTTCATACCTGATACCAGAGGTGTAACAATCGACATAGCGGGCAAAGGCAGCCACTATGGGGCCCGGGCACAGGGGCGCCCGGCCTGGACACCCCCCCTGATGCTGTGTGGGCCGCCATGGCTTCGAAGGCGCCGCTGTTCAGATCACTGTCAGTGAGCTGTGCAGGGCTGCGTTCTTCTCCACAGCCGCTGCTGAGTCAACGAGAGCCAGCAGCGGCGGTGGAGGAGGCTGGACCCGGCAGAGGAGGAGGAGGCGGGGCCCGGGGGTCAGCAACAGAGAAGGAGGCGGGCCGGTAACGGAGCAGGAGGCGGGGCCGGCGACGGAGGAGGGAAGACGGAGGAAGAAGAGGCGGACAGGTAAGGAGTGTGACCAGCCCACCTGAGGGTGACCCTGCAGAGCCCACCATAGAGAGTCTATCGTGCGCTCTGCAGGGTCACCCTCATGTGAGCTGTGTGGGATCTCAAGTGGGCTCTTCAAGGGGTGTAACTAGAAATTACAGGGCCCCATACAACATTTTGCTATGGGGCCCTGTGATTTCTAGTTACGCCCCTGCCTGATACCTTTTGGCTACTGACCTAGGCTTGATCTCTGACTACGCTACTGCCTGCTCCTATACTACTACAGTCTGCTTGTTTACTGAACTCGGCCTGTTTGACTACGACTTAGCCTGTTGTTTCAGCTACTTGACTCCGAGCCTGATCCCAGACCGTTACACCCTTACATTGTCAGTAGGAAGAATGTCCCCCAACATATACAGTAGCTAAAAATATAATTGGTGTCAGTGGTTACTTTTCTGAGAGTCAGAAATTGTTCATTGCTCAGGAATCCCCAAGCAACCCCTGGAGCAACACTAGTGCTTCACAGAACCCTGGTTGAGTAAGGCTATCATAGAGTTTTTCAGGACAATTTTGCTTTGCATATAGGTGAGATCAATACATTCATTGCTCCATGGACTGCCTATCTTTGCTGCACAAACCCCGAGTAAGGATACAGATCCACGCAGACATATTCTGGTGGACTTGCTGGTATGCCATCCAACTTTGGCCATATATTGTATCACTTTATTCAGCTTTGAAGCACTCAGTACATACCGTTATTAGTTCAATTGGCTTCATTATAAGCCTGAGTTATAGAACATCCGTCTATAGAAGTAATTGGATTTTGCTTAACCACAATTTTATGAACTGACTCACCCTACTCTGGGAAACCTTAGAAAGGGTCAATGACTAATACGCATTCAGCTTGGCAGATCTACTGACTTGCCATTACATATTTTACCCCTTAGCTTATAAGCAGAGCACAGATTACTGTACATATGCATTGTGATTTTATGTGACCTGTGGTTAATTTACTCGGGAGATGAGAGTATGTTTTTTTTCTAGAACCACTTATATGAATATTGATATACTATGCTTGTCAGCAGGGGACTAAACCCGGGACTCATCTGCCAGCATTTGGGATGTATCATTGTTCCTGCACTGGGGTTCTGTTGAGGACCATATATTGGGGTTTATGTCATTAGAGAGTGTGGCTCTGAATTATGGACTACCTCTGAATCCTAAGATTTCTATCATCTATATTATGATAGACTGTGTCTTGTATGTCCCATATGGAATTCAAAGCCAAAAAGAAGTGTGGGAAAAGAATGAGTTTGATTTCTAACATTTCTATTATATTGCTGCTGGGCCCCGGAGTGTTTTATGTGAGTTGTTGGATTTATGTTAGTCTTTTAACACACATTATTAAAAGCTATTATTTAAAATATTTGTCATTTTGTGTTCCCGGATCTCTTGCGTATAATACCTGGTAAAAAAAACCTTTTTAGCATATGTACCCACTGGTCACCAAGTCTGTTTCCAGGTTCACCCATCCCTATCCTTCACCCCTTCTGTTCAAGGATCTCTGGGTTGCTTCCCCCCAGCCAAAATATCAGTCCTCATTATATAGGCATTTTCTCAACAAAATTCCCCCACAATACTCTTAAAGGAGAACTATGGGGTCAGGGGTTTTCGCCATAGTTCTCCTAAGGGTAACGGGAGGACACAAACTAGTGTCCTCCCGTCACCCAAAGCTCATTATACCGCGAGCTACAGCTCCCGGTATACTGAGACGCTGCAGCCGGAACGGATCCCGACAATTATGTCTGGGTCCCCCCAGCTGCGGGATTGACAGCTGGCTCTACCTGTCTAGAGGCAGTGCCAGCTGTATACCGTCTGTTCCGCCAGTCAGCGCTGGAGGATCGGAGCGGGGAGGGGGCAATCCAGTCCCTCCCCTGTCACGGCTCTCTGCCGGCACAGGATCGAGAAGTGAGCGAACGCCGGTATGTGTTCGCTCACTTCCCGATCTACTGAGCCGACGTGTGACAGTCTCATTGTCACAGGTCGGCTACAACTATGAGGATGAGTGAAAATCACTCGCCTCATAATTCTCCTTTAAGCTATCCATATATTAATAGATACATCCAAGATTAATCCATACATCTAAGATACATTTCTTTTGTTCAGTCCGCAGACCAAACAAGAGAAGTCTGATAGATCATCCACGCTAATCAGCGTTAATGGAGGAGTCTCCCCTGCCAGCTATTGTATTCATTATATACAATGAGATCAGTTTAAGATTCCATAGATGTTTATTAATTATAGCAATCTGACTTTATAAAAACAAAAGGTAGCAACCATGTTTCAGGGGCCAACAGATCCTCCATCATAATGACTCTAAAAGGTTTGGCTAGATTGACGGACTCTTATTTGCAACTCCTAAGTGGAGCTCTGAGACCTCAAAGCTATTACAATGAACATGTAGTGGAGATGTTTGGCTGCAGTCACAGTTTGGCTGTCAATTTTTCTCCCTGCTCATTTGATATTTCAACCAAAGGTGGTCGAGCCAAATGGGGCCAACAGGCCCACCCATGGCTTGAATTACCACTGATTTAGAAGGAATCAACCAAAGTTTGCCATAGGTCACTTTACTTTGGTGGGAGAGGTTTGGTGAGAGCATAACTCCTTCCTGCCTCACTTCCCACACTGCCACTCTAGCGGACACTGCTAGTCTAATACAGTGGTTCTCAACCTGTGTAACCTCAGGACCCACATTTGTCCTTGGACATTAAGTGGTGACCAAAGTCGCACTGAACTGGAACGCATGGAATTAGGCTACCTCGCGTTCCAGTGTGGGCATGTGAGCTTTGGGTGGGAGGTGCATTTGGGGTACCATTCAAATGGATGGCAACCCAACACACCTCCCACACCAGAATGCATGGTAGGTGCAATTAACACACTGTACTAGTGTGAATGGGTCCTAAAAAACACTGACATACATGCACAGCCACAGACACAATCTGCTGAACTGTGACGGAGCTCCATCCATATGTGCTTTACTTGTACAGCTCCCTTGCATGCCCTGTAGAAGTGTCGGGAGCCATAATGTAATGTCACCATGGCACCTCTATAGGACACGTGAGGAAGCTGTAAGCAAAGCACATACGTATGGAGCTCCGTTGCGGCCATACCCCCATCCCACCACTAGCTGAAACTTGGCGCCGGGCAGCATATTTTGAATGGCTGCTTGGTGTGAGAACTGACAGTGCTGTTCTAGGGGGAGGCAGAGGAGCCTCTCACCTAGAAAAGTGGAAGGCATGCGGCGACCCACTGAACACGGGGTCACGACCCAATTTTGGGTCACGATCCACCAGTTGATAACCAAGGGTCTAAAGGCTGTGACACACTGCACGCGAAGCGGTGGCACACTGCCTTTGCGAGCAGTGTGTCATGTCATTTTCTCCTGGGCACCTCAGCTGGCGAGAGCTCGTGGAGCTGAGTGTGCCAAGATGAACAATTTCAACTTCAGCCAATCGGCGTATAAACCGGCGTGACGGGATGCGACGTCTGGCCGGTTGTTAAGCACGACCCGATTGGCTGCAGTGTGTCACGGCCTTTATAGGACCAGATTGGTCCTATGCTGGGTCCCCCCTAGCACCAGTAGTAAACTGCAGTCATTTGACTTAATGACCACTTCCTGCTTCACTTTCCACATTGCTGGTCTACCACAGTGACAGCGGCACTCCCCCAATTAGCAGCAACCGCCTACCCATGGCTAACAAAAATGTCCAAAAATTGGGAAGATTCTTTCATAATCCTAATCATTGATAAGAGAATCAAAAAAAGAATTTTCAAACCACCATACATCTCACTTCTCAACAGAATTTAGACGGTGAAGGTTCAGACCTGGTCAAGGCAGTTCAGTGCATATCTACAACCTGAATCTTGGTGCAGCTATTCAGAGCTGCCAACAAATAATTTAAGGATATCTAAAGCCAAAACTTAGAATAGGAAAGTGTTAACCTCTGCCAGATTTTTATTGCTGTGGAGGAGTTACCCCCACTATCTGTCCATCTGACCATTGTTATTGGAACAGAAAATGATGGGCTATCCAACATTTTTCAGTTGCCATCAGAACAAGATGTGAGGGGAAATCCAATAATAGGGACACCTGTTGCTATTGGAGAATTACTCTATCCAAATAAAACATTTTGACCTTGGATTCACTTCTAGAAATCAAACACACAGTTATCCATAGCTTCTGGACTGATATGGAGATATCATATATCTTTGTTTTACCAGTGAGCAGGTGGAGCTGTATGCAACTTCTATGGTTTATGAAACCTCCTCTTTAAAGCAGTTGTAGTTAAATAGGACCTAAATGATTCCGAGAAGGGACACCCCTCTCTCCTCCTAACAGATATGGAAACTCTGTTTCTAGTACAGGCTATGTTTCCAGTTTAGTTACATAGTTAGTCAGGTTGAAAAATACACAAGTCCATCGAGTTCAACCTATAGAGATACTTTAGGCTGGGTTCACACCTAGGCGTATTACGCATGCACGTCTGTCGCGCGACCGTCACGCGGTTTTTTTACCGCGATTCGCGGTAAAAAAATTGCGCGACCGTCGCTCGATTCCGAAGGCTACTTGGCTGTATCCCAATGGAAAACGCCCTCCAAAACGGCCCTAAGAAGTATATGTACTTGTTTGGGCGTCAGCCGTTTTGTAGGGCTTTCAGACGGGCGGAAATACGGAAAGGTGTGAACCATACCCATAGAAAACAATGGGATTTTCATGGTTGTACGTTTTGTAGAGCGTTCATAGAGCGTTGAACGCCCGACAAAACGGAAAGGTGTGAATGGGGCCTAAGAGTTACTCTGGAAACATAGCCTCATGTATGATTAATGTGTACAATACAAATGTTGATTAAAGGAGAACTATGGGGTCAGGGCTTTTCCCCATAGTTCTCCTTAGGGTAACGGGAGGACACAAACTAGCGTCCTCCCGTCACCCTAAGCTCAGTATACCGCGAGCTACAGCTCGCGGTATACTGAGACGCCGCAGCCGGAGCGGATCCCGACATCGATGTCGGGATCCGCCCAGCTGCGTGAGTGACAGCTGGCTCTGCCTATCTAGAGGCAGAGCCAGCTGTACCCGCCCCCTCCCCCGTCCGTTCCGCCAGTCAGCGCTGGTGTATCGGAGCGGGGAGGGGGCAATCCATCCCCTCCCCTGTCACGGCAGAGAGCCGTGACAGGGTCGAGAAGTGAGCGAACACCTGCATGTGTTCGCTCACCTCCCGATCTACTGAGCCGACCTGTGACAGTCTCATGGTCACAGGTCGGCTAGAACTATGAGGTGAGTGAAAAGCACTCACCTCATAGTTCTCCTTTAAAACATCCATTTGTTAACCCCCCAAAAATAGTTTAAAAAATGGACTAAAAACAGTTAAAGTTTCCAATTAAATTAAGGACTTGGTCTGTTTTATTGCACACTTGCACCTTTGTACCTGGGTGTTAAGTGACGTTCCCCAATTATGTTTAATGTGTATATGTTTATATATTGTGTGTTGGACCTTCTTACAGAGGGAGTGCCGCATTGGGTGAACTTTGCTCAGCCATGAAAGTTTTCTCTGTGTCATTCCTATCATCTCACACACTATCCCCATGTCAGTATCATCCATGGCACACATAGATTTTGTACCGGCCTCAGCTGAGGACTATAAAGAGCTGATGTCCATATCAGGTGGAATATACAATGGAATGGACTATCTGCCTTTCAGATACTATGAATGGCTAAAGGACCATCGGAGACACATGTTTCTGGCCAAGAGTGATGGGAAAATAGTGAGTATGGAAAGGCAATCCCAGACTTTGATCACATGGAGCATATTGGATCCACATTTTGGTGTAGAAGCATTGTGTCATTCCACTGGGCTCTATATGAGCATGGCTTTCTAAGACCTTCAATCTGTAACATGAATGGTTGCTGTGGGTCAGCATGCACTATCTGAGACAATTATTTTCTCAGATACAATGATAAATGAAGCCTTTTCAGGTATCGCAGGTGCGGCAGAAAATATTTTCTATGAACACTGTCCTTTTACATCAAATTAGTTAGCTTTGAGACTCCACGCGCTCTGGCTGAAGACATATCTAAAATCTATGTAAGACCCCTCAACACCAACTCAACCAACCAACTCAACACCAACACTCAACTGGTTGGCCAATGTCAGAAACCTAATTCCATCATTGCTTTGCTCTCTTGATAAGCCAGCTGTACCCTCCTGCTCTTATCGCCTGCTCTTCCCCTCTATATTGACAGAAATATCTAAGGTGGCTTTTATGGAAGAGCAGCTTATCCTAAGAATTTTCAGACTACTCGTACATTACCAGCCACCCTTTTGTCTGTGGGCAGCTTAAAATGGAACTATTGGCAAAATAAAGAAACGACATATATGATACAGTCAGTAACTAAACTCTAACTAACAAAATAAATCTCTACTATTCCAATTATTGTAGAAAAAAGTGTTTGCTGCAATTATTACCATGAATCTGGAGCTGTCCCCACTATAACTTTTTTCTTCCACTAGATGCCCTCAGTCTTCCAGGTTGAATAGCAGCCAGCATCAATCCGACCCCTTCCTATGAGGCCAGGCCATTAGGTACCTGCACCTGGGGCTGAGCCCAAGCCACCATGTACTTACCCTTGGGGCTCAGATCAAGAGGCATTGGAGGTGTTTAACTAGACTTCTGCTTTAAGTTACACTATATTACCAAAAGTATTGGGACACCCCTCCAAATCATTGGATTCAGGTGTTCCCTGAAATTTCCTTGCTACTAAATATTTGTATTATAACAAAGTGGAAGCAACTGGAAACAACAGCAACTCAGCCACGAAGTGGTAGGCCACGTAAAATGACAGAGTGTGGTCAGCACATGCTGAAGTGCACAGTGCGCAGAAGTCACCAACTGTCTGCAGAGTCAATAGCTACAGACCTCCCAACTTCGTGTGGCCTTCAGATTGGCACAACATCAGTGCGTAGAGAGCTTCATGGAATGGGTTTCCATGGCCGAGCAGCTGCAACCAAGCCTTACATCACCAAGTGCAATGCAAAGCATCGGATGCCATGGTGTAAGGCACGCCGCCACTGGACTCTAGAGAAGTGGAGACGTGTTCTCTGGAGTGACGAATCACGCTTCTCTGTCTGGCAATCCGATGGACGTGTCTGGGTTTGGCGTTTGCCAGGAGAACGGTACTTGCCTGACTGTAATGTGCCAAGTGTAAAGTTGGTGGAAAGGGGGGATTATGGTGTGGGGTTGGGCTTGGCGCCTTAGTTCCAGTGAAGGGAACTCTTAAGACATCAGCATACCAAGACATTTTGGACAATTTCATGATCCCAACTTTGTGGGAACAGTTTGGGGATGGCCCCTTCCTGTTCCAACATGACTGCGCATGACTGCGCACCAGTGCACAAAGCAAGGTACATAAAGACATGGATGAGCAAGTTTGGGGTGGATGAACTTCCTGAGTCCTGACCTCAACCCGATAGAACACCTTTGGGATGAATTACAGCAGAGACTGCGAGCCCGGCCTTCTCCTCCAACATCAGTACCTGACCTCACAAGTGGTCAAACATTCCCATAGACACACTCCTAAACCTTGTGGACGCCTTCCCAGAAGAGTTGAAGCTGTTATAGCCACCTCAATACTGAACCCTACGGACTAAGACTGGGATGCTATTAAAGTTCATGTGCGTGTAACGGGAGGCGTCCCAATACTTTTGGTAATATATTGTATATGTAATTCTCGATGTTTACAGTAAAAGATAAGCTTGGTACTGGCTCTTTGACCTTCCACGCCTTTCTGTTGGTCATTGAGACCATGTATCATATTAAGGATGTAACAGGAAGTCTCAGAAGATGACAAATTGTGGGACCAGCTTGGCTGTGGCATAAAGACACAATTTGCTGTTTTTGATATGTTGTATTCATTCAGGGTGACCACTGTTTATGCATAATTTTTACCATATCATCATTTTGAAATTACCCTGTTTTACAACAGCATTATCATTTTTTTTCATTGAACCCTTAAAATGGATATAGTTCCTTTTATGTTTGAGGCTTTTGCTTGTATGATCTACTATACTGTTTGGCCAAATGTTTTGTGGACACCTGACCATCATACCTCTATAAGCTTGTTGGATATTCCAATCCAAAACCATGGCCATTAATATGAAGATCCCCCACTCCTCCTTTGCAACTATATCAGCCTCCACTCTTTTGGAATGGCTTACCACACCACAAGATTTTTGAGTGTGTTTGTGGGGATTTGCTTCCATTCAGCTAAAAGAACATATGTGAGGTCAGGCACTGATGTTGGATGAGAAGACCTAACTCACAATTGGTTTTACAATTCATCCAAAACGTGTTTAGTAGGGCTAAGCGCTATGCAAGCCACCCATCTTCCTCCACATCAAAATGGTCAAACCATGTCTTTTGTTGCCAGACTTTGTGCCCAATAATTCTGGAACAGAACATAAAAAGGCCCTTCCCCAAACTGTTACCACAAGGTTGGAAGCACACAAATGTCTCAAATGTATGAGTATGCTGTAGCATAATTAGTACACAGCACTAGAAACACCTACACTCATTAATTTGGAGGGTGTCTACAAACCTTTGGCCATATAGTGCATTTGTATATAGTATTGCTCAATGTGTCTTGTTGGTGTTTCATCTTCAGGTGGCTTTTGAGTCCTTCTTGCTGGTCGATGGAAGCAGCACTGCTGTATTGCAGGGTCTTCGTGTGGCCCCCTGGATGAGAGGACAAGGCATAACTGGTGCAATCCAGAGATATTGCTTAGATAGACTTCGTTCTGACCACCCAAAAGTGAAAAGAGTGCACCTAACTCGTGGAGAGGACCCGCCACCCAGCTTGTTGAAGATGTTTAAAGTGATCAACTCCAAGGTCCTCTACATTATCTGAATTATAATTATAATTCTTTTTAGTACAGTACTGTTGAATATTCTCATGTTTTGTCCTCTTACAAAACAACAACAAAGTACTATAACTAATATATTCTCATCTTTTCTTTTCCAGGCATTAGTGTCTATGATCCTTCCCTCTAACCAGCTTGAGGAAGACATTAAATTGTTGGAAGCTCACCTGGACAATGTGGGACAAGTCAATCACAGTGTTCTGGAACCTGCTGAGGTGCTCAAACTCTTCAATGAGACAAAGACTGTAGAAGATCTGCTTACTGGGGGTCTCCTGGTACAGGACTGGCTTCCTCTTAGCACCCACAGGTCCAATTTGGAGATCCTTTTTGAAAGGAGAATTGCTTGGATCTACTCCCAGTCGCGTAATACGAGTGGTTCTTTGGCACTGCCTGATGAAAACTCTGCTGGCAGTGCAGATGGACATCAAACTAACCATGAAAACATTATGAGTAGGTGGTGTGGATCTCCATCCACACCACCCTCTTCTGCTGGGTTCCTCAGCCTTGGCACCCCAGCATACCCGGTGGCTTATGCAAACGCCACATATGTCTTCCACATTGACATGTTTGGAGTTGACCCAGCAAGTCTTAGGATTCATGTCTTGGAGCAGATCAAGCTGTGTATACAATCCTTACCTGAAGCGAGCAGTTTAATCTGCTTCATGTACACAGATGAGTGTCTCCGCAGTGAACTCACCGACCTGTGTGAAGGACTGACACCGTTCTTTGTAATTAAGAACCAGATGATCCTAGAAATGGAGTTTTAAAGCATTTGGCGGCAAATTATTATCATGGGACTCGTTTAGTGGACCTGAAACTGAATAAAAACTGAAGTATGACACAAAGTGAATAGGATTCCAGAAATTATTTTCCACTCTGATTGGCTGCTATGGACCACCACACCTGTTTATTGGGTGTGCTGACATTAAGACAGGGGTGGGCAACTCTAGCCCTCCAGCTTTGTTTTACCTACAAATCCCAACATGCCTCTGCCTCTGGGAGTCATGCCTGCAACTGTCAGTCTGGAAATGCCCCATGGGACTTGTAGATCTACAACAGCTGGAGGGCCGGAGTTGCCCACCTCTGCACTAATTGGTCTGTTTATAAAAAATAACTGCATAGCTCTTTGTCCTGCAAAACTGCATATACATTCATTCTGTGCAAATTAACCAGCTGTTGTAAAAATGGGGCAAAACTGAATGATCTATTTTCTCTTCCAATATTATGGGCAGGGGTAAGAATAGGTTCATTCATAATCAGGAAAATACCACATGATAGCCACTAGAGGGAGCTGAGGATCATAGGAAAAAAATACATCTTGGTAACAAGAGATACAATGTAACAATTCTATAGATCACTGAAGAGGATTAGCAAAAACATGTAACCATTGCTGCCACTAAAGGAATTGCATTTTCTAGAATTGTTAAATTGAATCTCTTGTTATCAACATGTATTTATTTCCCATGACCCTCAGTTTCTAGTGGCCATAATGTGGTATTTCCCCAATTTATGAATACTACTAATTTTTATAGCACCAGCTTTTCCTGTGAAGGTGAACTTTTTAGTGATAAAATAGGAGTAGATAATACAGATAGTACAAGTACAAGTAATAGTACAAGTAACTACACCTGTTTAATGAACCACACAGAAAGAGAAAGAGCCCTACCCATAGGAAATTATAGTCTGTATGTATATGCACCAAAGGCCAAACGTTTTGTGGACACCTGCTTGTTACACTTATATCAGCTTCTTGGACATCCCATTCCAAAACCATTGGCATTAAAATGGATTATCCCCTCCACCCTGTTGTAATTAAAACAGGCACCACTCTACTTAGAAGGCTTTCTACAAGGAGTGTGTCTGTGGGAATGTGTGCCCTTTAAGCCAAAAGAGCATTGGTGAGGTCAGTTACTGATGTTGGATGAGAAGACCTGGCACTCAATTATCGTTTCAATACATCCCCAAGGTGGTCAGTAGGGTTGAGGTCCGGGCTCTGTGGAGGCCACTCAAATTCCTCCACACCAAACTTATCAAAACATGTATTTTCAGTGGTGGTCAGTGGGAAGAATGCTCTCCTAGAAGTGGTGGTCATTGGGAAGAATACTCACCTAGCAGTGGTGGTCAGTGGGAAGAATGTTCCACTAGCAATGATAATTAATAGGAAGAATGCTCTCCTAGTAGTGGTGGTCAGTGATAAGAATATTCCACAAGCAGCGATGGTCAGTAGGAAGAATGCTCTCCTAGTAGTGGTGGTCAGTGGAAAAAATGCTCTCCTAGCAGTGGTGGTCAATTGGAAGTATACTCACCTAGCAGTGGTGGTCAGTGGGAAGCATGCTCTCCTAAAAGTGGTGGTCAGTGGGAAAAATATTCCACTAGCAGTGATGATCAGTAGGAAGAATGCTCTCCTAGTAGTGGTGGTCCATGATAAGAATGTTCCACTTGCAGTGATGATCAGTAGGAAGAATGTTCTCCTAGTAGTGGTGGTCAATGGGAAGCATGCTCTCCTAGTAATGGTGGTCGGTGGGAAGAATGTTCCACTTGCAGTGATGATCAGTAGGAAGAATGCTTTTCTAGTAGTGGTGGTCAAAAGGCCATCCTTCCAGGCAACTGTAGAGATCACTGGTGCCATGCTGCTGGCTTGGACCCTGAAGCCTATCAGGCACAGTTCGACTGGAGATCAGTCAGCCACAGCTCAAGGAACCCCTACCATCCTCTGGAGGAACTCTGGCTGAGAATGGCTGGCTTTGTGATTTGAGCCTGTAATCTAACTGAATTCAGATAGAGAATATTAATAAAACCATGAGGCTATTCTCTGAAATAGCATCCCATCTTACAAGGTTGGCAGCTACACGTAAAACTAAACCTCTCAGAAGATCAATATAGGGGTTATCCTAAATTATTCAGCCAATGAAATCAAAGCCTCTGATCTGAATACCTTATACAGGTCAGTGACTCAAAACACACTAAAGCCAGAGGATTGAGACATGACAAGAAGGCATCTCTCATTTTTAAAAGGGCTCTGCCATGGCAGTCCACAAATGTCCCTCAGGGCAGCTTTTCTTTGACGTAGATCAATGCTTTTAAACTAACATTGGTACCCGGCAGGTAATTAAAAAAAATCTTTTTCTCACAATGTACCGGGTGTTTGACCTTTATCTACACTTGTCATAATGTAAAAAAAGCAATTGTGTGCCTGTTTTCTAAAAGTGTAAGAGAGCTAGGAGCACACAGAGAGCATGAAAGAGAAACACATGCAGAGAGAATACAAATTCCACACAGACAGTCTGCTTTGTCAGATCCTGGACCCTGCTAGGGTTGCCACCTTTTCTTCAAGAGAAACCCGAACACTCTAGCACCACACGAGGAGAGGCAACCAGGAGAATAAGCAAGAAGAGACAGCCAGGGGAGGGAGTAAGGAGACTGTCTAAAGAGGACTACAAATCCCAGCAATACATTATACAGCAATGAAAAATAATATGAAACTACATACTCTGTTTTTATTGAGGTGACGCCCTGATGTCTCTAGGATCTCAGGTGGCTTGTGCAGGCTCTCACGAGGGCTGTGCGGGCTCTCAGGAGGATGTGCAGGCTCTCAGGAGGATGTGCAGGCTCTCAGGTGGGCTGTGCGGGCTCTCAAGAGGATGTGCAGGCTCTTAGGTGGGCTGTGCGGGCTCTCAGGTGGGCTGTGCGGGCTCTCAGGAGGATGTGCAGGCTCTCAGGAGGGTGTGCAGGATCTCAGGTGGGCTGTGCGGGCTCTCAGATGAGTAGGCAGCGTTGTGTCAGAAAGACAGTGGAAGAGATGTGCGGGCCGGCCTGTGCCTGTTTACAAGTGTCCGTGGCTCTCAGGAAGATGCGGCTGCAAGCAGATACAACTGCCAGAGGCCGCATTCTTGTTGGGGACCTCAGCAGCTGCATCTATAAAAAAAAATTAAAGTGCCCGTATGGGCACTTAGTGTCTTGTGTCTGGGTGTCAGTTGGCTAGAAACCCGGACACAAGACTCAAAAACCGGACTGTCCAAATGAATCCCAAACATGTGGCAACCCTAGACCCTACAGCTGTAGATGCAGGGGGCTTATTTACACACTGTGCATTTTGAATGGTGCCCCAACACACCAGGGCAGTGCACTGCATTTGCATTTCACCTCACCACATCCCACGGATGTAACCAATGTTTGCATTGTGGTGATCTGTGGAAAGAAAAATTGTGCATGTCCAGTTTTATTTGCCTTGTAGTGCGTTGGTAACCCACTGAAAAGGAAATGTTAATGTGTGAACGCCGCATGTTAACTGTGTGCGTGCATCACAACACACTAACATAAACAGACACTAAGAATGCTAACACCAAGCCACTGAGCTGGGCCACGTTCAGCTATCATTAGCATCAATATGGCTGTATGAAATTGCCAGTCCACCCAGAAATGATATTTATGCATTTTGTAGATGCTGAAAAGTTAAATCACTTGACTGTCTCTTATATCTTGTAAGGATTCTACTGATTATTGAGTTGGGATGAGCTCAGGTTCAAACCAAACCCAGTTCAAGTCTGAGCTCCTCCGAACACAGAAGGAAGCTCCTTCCACTGCTGCCCAATCATCTGTGGCCAAAGTATTCTCCACAAAGGGGTTTGATGTTGTGATGCAAATGGCCTTATGTAGCCACATGGCTATACTTGCCACAAACAAAAGCAACAAATGAGGAGCGCAACTACCAAAGATTGTGTAAGTAAGTTAAGTCTGGCGAAGGGACCAGTGGATATATGAAATGTGGACAGTGTCAGGAGCACTAATAGATCTAGGAGTGTGGAGTGTGAGTGTCAATAGCAATATCACAGCAAGCAAAAGGGACTTACGGTTAGGAGCTCCCCTGTTGTCTGTGAGACCGACTCCTTGGTTCGAAGGGGTGTCTCTGGTGGTATGAGAGGCTGGTTCAGGATGGATGTGTCTCCGTATGGCCGCCCACGTACTCGGCTGGCCGGGCCGATCAGCGTCGGTCAGGAACGGAGAAAAAAGGGGGAGGGGCTACACGCGGCTGCGGAACGCCATGCGCCGTGTGTCAGTGATGGCAGTCGGGCTATGGTTACAGGGGTACAAAGGTCTCGGGTGTCTCCAGTGGCTACGCGTTTCGAGGGGGTGCCTCTTTATCAAGCCTCAGAGTGCTGGAGAATGCTGGAAACCTATCTTCTTTTAAATTGGATAAAGGGGAGGAGTGTACTTTCGTTGAGCCCAGTGATAGGCAAATGAGTTGGCAGTCTAGGTCCGCCTTGAATGTGACCTGTCAGTGCTCTAACCGAAAAAGATCTGTGGCCTCTAATAGCCCTTCGATCTTGTTTGGGGCTGTCATTTGAGTGAAGATGGTATGATCTGTGTTTGTTGGTACAGTATATCTCGCAAGGTCACAGGGGGCACGGAGGAATGATTTGTCCACGCCTTATGGACCTCCTCTCTATTAAAAATGTTTTTGTGTATTTAAAATGTGTTTCTAGACGGATTTTATTATGGTTTGAAAACAGAACAAGGGGGTGAACTACAATTGAGTGGATGGGACTAAAATATTTATTATAAAATGTTCTTAATGAGACATCACTACAAAGCTGTATAGACTTAAAATTAAAGTCTCTCTGTTGCACAGGCGGTGAAATCTTTCGGATGGCGATAAATGTGTGGGTATCTGTTTGATGGCAAATACCCTGAGGTCCTGGATTCTTTTAAAGTGTTTAGTGGTAAAATGTCTTGGGACACTGTGCTCAAGGTCTCCCTTTTCAATGAG